CGTGACAACGTAGCGTGACAACGTAGCGTGACAACGTAACGTGACAAAGTAACGTGACAACGTAACAACCTAACGTGACAACGTAACAAAACGTAACGTTACATATCGTGACAACGTAACAAAACGTAACGTAACTACGTATCGTAACAACGTATCAGTGTTTACAGGAGACATAAACGTTTGCATCTATAGTCAATTACAGATATACCCTTTGTGGACTCAAGTGAAAGATGCTTTAATTATGACATTTTAAATTAGTCCGTATTTCTTTACTTGGACTAGGTAGCAATAAATGCACCCAAAATCAAAGTATACGTGATTTAGAGGTTCAAAATCTTTAAACGTATGGTCCTTTAAGGAAAAATAATGAAGGAAAAGGGTGAAATTGAGGCCCCTAGTTTTGCCTCAGGCCTCCAGAGCCCAGAGTCCACCCCCATCTTCATGCCTCCAGCCTTCATCTCTGTTCATCCTCCCTTCAGCGTCCTTTCTCCATCCCTGATCCATCACCATTTGGCCTCTACAGCTATATTCTCCATCTTTCTGCCACCTTGCCCTCTCTTTCTCTCTGCATCTCTTCTCATATCTGTTGCCTTTTCATCCAAACACTCCACCCCCTCCTCCCACCACCTCTTCCCTCCCCCCTCGCCGGTGGCGTCCATACACCGACCGGAGCACAGACTCTCTTGTTGTCAGTCACTTTCCTGGCGAACAGACGGCGGCAGCAACAGCAGCAGCAGGAGGAGCGGGGACGGTAATCCCCCCCCCCCCCCCCCCGGTCCCCCCCCCCCCTTTCCAAAAAAAAAAAAAAAAACTGAAACCGGTGGCAGAACCTCGCGGGACACCTGTGCTACTGGATACCATTTTTGGGGGTCTTTAAGAAATGTTAATATCTAAATTGACAGCCACATTGTGGATGATGCTGATGAGAAGCAGTGGTGATTAAGACGGGGATGCAGACGCGGAAACAAGCGGCCAAATCTGCCTCGATTGACGGTGACGAAGCGCTCGGCACCACCACCAACAGCAGCAGCAGCAGCATCCGTCGGTCGGCGGATGGAGATGCGTTGTGAAGGCGGAGGAATGCTGATGATGATGCTGATGATATAGCAGGTGCTGCAGGCTCGTGTCGCATTGCCTGGCCGCCGCGAGCGACGCCGGGGAGACGGTGATGCTGTCGTCGTCATCGTGTCACAGAGAGCCAGAGAAAGAGAGGAGCGGCTTTGACATGGAGGGAAGCGGCTGTGTGTCGGCTGTGAGCTCGGGCCGCCCGGATCAGCAGGTTGTATGTGCCGCCTGAAGCCCGGAGGACCGGAGTCAGTATACGCATGGTGGTGAGGAAATCACAATAAAGTTGAATTCTTCACGGTGGGATTGAAATTGTTTCCGTGCGTAAAAGTGAACGGCCCATATGTTGATAATGCTTCATAGGAGCGTCATAGCAGCAGCGTCTGTGCCAGTTCAGGGTGGATTACGTCTACAGAGCAGCAGGCCTCCATCTGAGGGCAGCTTCTGAACCATAAAGAAAACCACCACCCTGTTGCTGGAGGTAACAATTTATTCTGTTGTTTCACTGGAAGCTGGTGAGCTGTGGTCCCCCGTGGAGGGACAGCTGTTGCTAAAGATGACTCACTTGCAGGCTGGCCTCTCTCCAGAGACCCTGGAGAAGGCCAAGGTGGAGCTGAAAGAAAACCCGGAGACTTTGCACCAGGACATCCAGGAGGTCCGGGACATGATCATCACCCGGCCGGACATCGGTTTCCTCAGGACAGACGACGCGTTCATCCTCAGATTCCTCCGGGCGAGGAAGTTTAACCACTTCGAGGCGTTTCGGCTGCTGGCACAGTATTTCGAGTACCGGCAGCAGAACCTGGACATGTTCAAGAACCTGAAAGCGACGGACCCGGGCATCAAGCAGGCCCTGAAGGACGGCTTCCCCGGCGTGCTGTCCAATCTGGACAGATACGGCAGGAAAATACTGGTCCTGTTCGCAGCCAACTGGGACCAGAGCAGGTAATAAAGAGGCAGAGTGCTGGTGGTGATGTGGCTGTAAAGTCTGTGTTATCTGATCAGACGCATAAAGAGAAACCCAGAAAGGACAGAAAAGAGTCAGTGTTTTAAAATCCACTGTAATTAAGTGGAGTCTGGTCTATGGAGCTGTCCATTCAGCACCACAAATTGATCGTTAATGAGGAAACAACAGGAAACCAACTCGTCGTTCTTCTCTAATCAGTTGTGGAAAAATACATGAAAAGCCCAAAAGTACATGGACACCAAACACATTTCAGTTTTCCCACCAGAGTTGTAGGACCTGGCTGCAGAGCATTAGTGAGGTCCAACACTGATGTGGGGTGATCAGGTCTGGCTCTAGTTCATCCTCAAGGTGTTGAATGGGGGTTGAGGTCAGGGCTCTGTGCAGGACAGTCAAGTCCTTCCACACCAAACTGGGAAAAGTCAAGGTAATTCTCATTTCTCCAACCCCGAAATCCCAAATGAGAAAATTTGCTTCAAAGGGTGTTATAAAATCAAAATACATATGACACCTATTATCCGATTCAGATAAAAAAATGTTCCCAATACAACACCCGTTACAGGTGTGAAAAAGAGCCGAGAAAGGAAGTGAGTGATGAGGGAAGTGGTTAGTCTGGTGAAAATGTCTGAGGTACCGGTAACTAGAAGTGGGCAATATGCCAAAAATAACAAACACAGTCTCACGGCAGTTTGTGAAATGCAATATTTGTTTTGTGTACAGGGACGGGAAACGTCCGCTTTTTTCGTGTCCCTTGGCACAACTGTTTTTTTCAGAATGACATTACTTACAAAACGACAGTTAGGTTAAGGCAACAAAAAACACTTTAGGAAAAACATCATAGTTGGCCTTAAAATAACTATGTACATTAGGTTTAGGCAACAAAACCAACAGTTGGGTTTAAGCAACGAAACCACTAACAAGTAGGTTTAGGCAACAAAACCAACAACATCATTTTCGTGTTTTTCATTCTCGGTGGAGGCATGCCAGAAATGCAAGAATGCAAGACAACATGGGGTAATATTTGGGTTAGTAATTGTCGACTCAGGACCGTAATTAATATATAAATTGTCATTTTGTGGGTGAAGTATTTTTTTTAATACAAATGTTACACAACAAATAAGTCAACATTCGGGGTGAAGTGGCGTTACTGAAGTACGAAAATTACATAGTAAATAAATAAAAGTTGACTTCTGGTTTTACACAGGACACGAACAGCGGTCTCCTGGGTGAAAGTCCCCAACCTCCTCCCATCGAGGACTTGTAAATTACCCGTCGAGGCTCACATTTTAGAAGGTTACATGCAAATAGATCACGTGGGTTATATACGAATTATAGTGCATGACTTGTCCTGAGTATAGCTACGAACAGTGTACGAGAACAGCCTGAACGCTGTTTCTGAATTTAGTTCTTTTGACGATCAACTTAAGTGCCTTAATAATCTCTCCACTTCTCTGGCAAATAAAAACTGTCGTGTTTTTCTCAGGTACACGTTTGTGGACATACTGAGGGCGATCCTGCTGTCGTTGGAATCGATGATCGAAGATCCGGAGCTGCAGGTCAACGGCTTCATCCTCATCATCGACTGGAGTAACTTCACCTTCAAGCAGGCGTCCAAACTGACTCCCAGTATGCTGCGGCTGGCCATCGAGGGGCTGCAGGTAAGGCGCTCAGCTGTCTGAAGCTTTGGTGGTGTTGGTGTTGTTATGATTGGTTTAGTGGTTGGGTGTGAGAAGTGATGGACTTTAATACTGGATTTATACTGGTACTGGTTTGCACCCAAACATTTTTTTAACCATCACTATGAGAATTTCCAATCTTGTCATTTAGGTCCGATTGACTTACCCCTAACCTTATTATTAAAGAGTACCATGCAACACAGTCTCACTTGGTCAGTGCTCCTGAGCTTTAAACTGTGATGCGCTACGTACCCGTCTAGCGTCAGTTCTGGACGTGTCGGTTTTTCCGCTCGTTACATGTGTAGTGTCTTTTCAAAATAAACATCCGTCTTCACAGGACGTTGGGTGGATGCAGCGCCCCGTTCATTCCTGTTGAAGTTGCTCAGTGTAAAATCGCATTGATCTTCTGCCGATCTTCTGCATCCATTAGCCGGTAGAGCGAGCACACTAGCGTTTCCTTTAACCCCACCTCCCAGCCCTCGGTCAACGTTGAATTTTAGTTACACAGGGGACACGAACAGCGGTCTCCTGGGTGAAAGTCCTGTTGGTTTGACCCATCCATCCACACGGCCAGCTGTGGCTCAGAGGTAGTCCATGTCCATCTCCTCCAGTCCATGTTAACCCCAAATTGCTCGTGAAGGCTGTGCCATCCGTGTATGAATGTGTGGGTGAATGGGTGAATGATGACACGTTGTGTAAAGCTCTTTGAGTGAAAGACTAGAAAGCCGCTATACAAATGCATTCAAAGTCCATTTGCTATTCATACAGCGTCCGTTGCTCTGAGCTTCCAATAATGACGCGGGTGGGTTGACATCGGAGTTAGTTTAAAATCCAAAAATCCGCAGTCTTGTACCTCAACAAAGCCAGTCTCTGTTTCCTGTCAGAGCCGAGGAGGAAGAGGGAACTCTTCGGCCTTTCTTGACTTCAAAGTTTTCCTTTTCTGACGTTGGCAGAACAAACCTCCAGCGTCCACTCTGCAGTCAAAATGTTCCACTTAAGAACAAGTCAAGCACCGCGTTAAAGCCGCGAGCTGGTTTAGAGGAATAATGACATTTCCATTTTGATTACACACGACTGCTGCTGGATGGTGTTTCTCAAGGTTCGTTTGGCAGGTGATGATGTAGTGGTTGTCAGTTTGGGTTTCTTCAGCTCTCGCATTCTCTAATGAGAGTCCAGTTTCTCTCATGTGGCATATAGAGAACAGATACATGAGATGTGACAGTGCTCGTTGTGTGTTTTGGGGATTTTTCATGGCATGAAAAGGCATTAGTCCTCTCAGTCATCAGGACAACTTTAACGGCATTATTGAAATGAGTTACAGGAGAGAAGTGTACAGCTGTCCTCTGGTAACCAGCCAAACCCGGGAGGAAATATCTTGCCTGGTTTGTGCGTGTGTGTGTGTGTGTGTGAATGTGTGTTATCGCTTTTTCAACATCTTTGTGAATCATCTGCCAATTTGTGCTGGGCTCCATTAGTCAACGTGAAATCTAAGGGGAAGTGTTTCTCGGGGGAAGTATTGAGTGAGACGCAGCGTGGTCTGATGTGCTTGTGAATGATGCCAAATTGGCAAAGTTGCATTTCAAAGTTCCATCCTCTATTTCTGTGTTAAAGCTGACAAAATTCGAGCAGGAAATGTCAATCCTGAGGGTAAAAGATGGTGATTATAATTCAGAAGCTGTTTTGTTTCAATGTACAAATTAGTATTTTATCTTTAAAGTTGCAACGTACGACTTTCCTCCCCGTAGAGTTTCCAAGCGGCATTATTGTTGACGTCGCAAAGACAACTGGAACGCGTTGTGATAGTCGACTACTCGCGATAAATTTCCTGATTTCCCCATCAGGGAAAAGGAAAGAAATATGTTCAAATATATTCTATTGTAATTCATTCCCATTGCAAAACTCAGAGGTTGTGCCCTCTGCTCAGGCAGCCTCGCTCCAACCGACACACCCAAAAGCATTTTATCAATGAATATGAAGATGATTGTGTGACGTCATCGGGCAACTTTTGGCGCTCGTGCTAGCTGCTGTCACTGGTAAAGAGTTTCCAACACTGCATTTTGTTTCCTCCCTTCTGGAGATAGTCGCAACCGATAGCTACAAAAACAAAAGCGCTTTCCTCTTCCTGTTTTGGTTGCGCAAAGGTTGACGCATTGCTTGTGTGTCATAAATGGAGCCTTCCTTTCCCCAGGAGATCATAGCTGGTGGCAGACAGAATTGCGAATAGTGAAAGCAAAGCTAATTGAGAATCAGTCTAAACACTGATAGTGTCATTGTTCTGCAGCCGTTACATTGTGCAATCAACCTTTGCTTCATGTGCTATTCATGCTAATGATGTTTTTTTTAGATAGCTGACCCTCATTAACCGATCATTAACCGTTCACCGGCAACATTACTGCTTTGCATGCAGGGCTGCAGTGGTTGAAGTGCTAACAAGCCAACTACAAAGGATCCACAAACTGGTTAAATGCATCATTTATCGCCAGCTGCAGTGTTTGAGCAAAACGGGCATTGTCGTGGAAACATGCAGTCACTTTCCCAGTCGGCCTCATCAATTAGTTTAGCTACAAGATTGTCAGCTGTGTGTCTGCCTGACTGACTGAACAACAACAACAAAATCTTATTGTTGGTTAACGGTTGAACGATTCATTATTAACATCCCTTCTTCATAATGATAACTTGTCACTCTTAACTTTTCAAATTTCTTCCATTAGCACCAGACAGCAACCTCCGGTTCTGCCGAGTGAAGTCCATGCGAAGTGTCTTAAAACCTACATTCTCTCTAGTGTCCACCAGGGGGCGACTCCTCTGGTTCTATGAGTCTATGAGAAAATGACTCTACTTCTCTCTTGATTTATTACCTCAGTAAACATTGTAAACATGAGTTTATGGTCTCAATCTCTAGTTTCAAGTCTTCTTCAATACAGCATGATGTTCATTTAGTACATTATGGTCCATTTAGAGTCAAACAGACCATAAAGCAGGGGATGCTTAATGTAAATCAGTATCATATACTTTCTTCTTATTTGTTTTCTACTTATGTTCCAGTAAATGTAAATAAATATAGTATTTCTACAGAACCAGTGATACTTTTCCCCACCTCCTCCACGAGTTATCTGCAGTGTCGGCAGTTAAGGCGGTATGTTGGGAAAAATGTTCCACCTTTTTTTTTTTTTTGCGGACAGAGGGAACAAACTGTAGACGCAAGCAGGTGCATCAGCGTGAAGAGTCCACATATAACACACTTCTGACGGCTCTCCAGACGCAGATTAGAGCCTGAATTATTAATGGAGGCTATTAGCTGAGCCCTGAGTCATTCCCAACCGTGCAACTGCTCACACAAATGGTTGCTCATCATTTGATGCAGAAAACGGAAGGAAGAAGCGTAATCTGATTTGAATATATTTGACAAATGAAATGCGCAAAACAGGTTACAAAACTCATCAAGGACGTGGCGATAAATTCAAACTTATATTCATCTGGACGTGAAAACTAATTGAAAGGTTGTAATTAAATGTAGTTTCTTTATTGTCAACAAAACAAATCCTGCTGCCTCAAATACTCACAAATGTGGATTAATCCGCCACTGAAAATAGTCCCCTACAAATGCATGATTTTCTCTTGTTTGAGTAAAGTTTGCTAAAAACTACAATGCTACTACATTTTTTTCTACTTGAACTACATATTTTTTATATTTACATCTTCAATGGGATCCATTGGGCTTAGGGCCAAAGAATTTAGAGAGAGGCACAGTGTTGGTTTCAATCTTTTCATGGGATTTGTTGGAAATCTAAATAAAAATAGAGGTGTCATCATTTCACATTATAGCTAAGATTCAAACACATAAAGATGTGTGAGTACAGATTTAAAATATAGGACATGCAGCCACAACATCAAACAACTGACACCAGGAGCAGTTACAACCACAAACATTAATATACAGTATATATATATACTATATATATATATGTATTTGGATTTAACCTGAATAGAAAAGCCGAACCAGGGATGGAGGCTGCAAATAAAATATAAACATTTGTTGCATTATTTCTCCGTAAGCAACAATGTTTATCTGTTTCATCCCTGTAAAATACATTAACATATAAATAAATAAACACAATCAACATTTACAGTTTGTGGGATTAATAGAGCTCAGCCATATGCACACACACACACACACACACACACACACACACACCCTGAGATCTAAACGCTGTCAAACAGCCACAGTGAGTCACGTCAGTCTCAGCAGGTCGGGTTACAAATCTGAAAGACCAGGAAGTGTTCAGAAGCAGCTGAGTCAGACCCACCTGCAGGGCGGCCGGACGGCGTTTCTTCTGCATGAGGCTTTGATGTAGTCTGATGGCCGATTTACATCGCTCAGTTAACATCTGTGTGCATCAGCAACTTCATATCTGCTGCTGCTGCCCTCGTTTCTCTTTTGTTTCCAGAGATGTTTCATTGTGCTCGTCGCTGGATTATCTGATGTCTGTATAAACCGACAGCAATGTGACGTTTAACAGTAGAATTTTACACGGCAAAACACACTTTTTTGTCTGCAAAGTGGCCGCCATTGGTCGGCCTGTTTGGAGTTTCCCCATCAGCCGTTGCTCATGGGCTCGTTTGGTAGAAAAAGAAAACTTTTCAGTTTGTTGTAATACTCTACATCAGTGTAAGTACATTTCAGATCCAGGAATTCGCACTATAGACACCACCGCTCACTCTCCCTGTAACTATTTGGCCATAATTAAACACATTGGCCAAACTCGGTCCGGCCATAAACAAGGTTTCAACTTAGATTTATGATTGATCTAGTTTTTAAATAAGCCATGCCTCACTGTACAATCATGCAATCCATACTTCAGCTAAAAAATAGATTGAATCTGTAACGGTGACAAATCCAGACTAGTTGCCTTGAAGTAATATTTAATAATCTAATCCAAATTGAGCTTGACAACAATATTCATCCTCAAGAAGTGAAAAAC